CCCACCATCCACGGCGCATGCGCGGCGCCGGTGACGTCCGCTAGGGGCGCTCCGGTTTGTTTGTAAACATGAGTTGGTGTATACTCCAGACAAAGTGAGAGTCAGCACTGACTATCTTTCGGAGAGTCGCTCATACACTCCCATGACTCTTTTGCAATAGGAGTCGGGGGACTCTTCATAAAAGGAGGGTCCTCACGACTCTTGTTACAGATCGTCACGGGGATTACCAGGAAGGAGTCGTGTGACTTTTTCTCCGTTGGATAAGAGTCGTTAAAGAGTCGCAGTTGACTACGTCACCTGGAGTCGCCCCTACACTACCATGACACCAGTGTGATGAGAGTCGGACTTTTTTTTTTAAAATAAGAGTCAAGTGACTCTACGAACTGGAGTTGTGGAGGAGTCAAATCTGCGGCGCGCCAATACCCCCCAAAGAGAGTCATAGCGACTCTTTTTTTTTCTTTTTTTTTTAAGAGTGCAGAAGCTTTTTTTACGCAAGCTGTCACCCTTAACAGGTTCCACATTTTCTGCTACTGGTGCAGCATCTATCACTAGGACAGCTGTCCGAATGGTTCCTGTTCCTCCTGTTTTCCTCTGTTGTCAGAGAGTCCAGCTGTAGGGAGCTTGGAGGCTGAGGAAGCTTTTAAGCACCTGCAGCAGTATCTCTTTTAATTGGAAATGAAAATTCAAACTCAACGGGGTATTTTTGGAATACAGAAGGCTGGAATAAAGAAAGAATGTCAGGAAAAAGTATAAACATTCTAAATTACGGTAGCATTTCTGCGCATATTTTTGGCACTTCAGTACATCCCATACAGGCAACTGGGGGCGATTCGGCCGTTTTTCCTGCTACCATACAAACTGATTTTCAGTAATTGTGCATCGTCTAAAAAATAAAACATGTCTGCATACGTGTACGAACTATATAATTAATTCACGAAGAATCTATATTTATGCAAGACAGCCTTGTTCCACGAGCACCTCAAAGGCCTTCAGACCTAAGGCCTTCAAAACATTTGCGAACGAGCGCATGTAGAGTGTGGCACGCCCAAAATGACGCGATTTTAAACAGTTTGCACGCCAGCCGGACGCTAGCTACGGCCCACTCGGCGGAGCAGACGACGTGCGGGGTGAGTGCATTTTTTCTCTTTTACCCTCTCTCTCTTCACTGCATAAAAGATCGCGTAGATGGTCATTGTTAGAAACTCGTTGTCAGAAGGCACTACTCGTCACATGCTAGTGGCTTGGAAGTTCAAAGCTATGTCTTTTCGACCTAAATAACTCTGCCATTGGTAAAAAAAATAATCACGAAATAAACATAATAGATGCAAAAATAGAAAAGCTGGGGAAAAAAAAAACTATCAGGAACCTGCCGGAAGTGTTGTATTCTTGCATATTCAGAGGCCCAGAACTATGAAACAAGTTTCTCCTACCAAAATGTATACAGGCCAAAAGCAACACGTCCCAAAAACGTAAAACGAGAAAAAAAAAGTTTTTAATAACGAGCTGAATTTGAACAATTTTTGAAATCTTCCCCCATGAGTTAATTTATTCCCCAACGTGAAAAAAACAATAAATACATTATTTTGTATCCTGCAGGTGGTAATGATATGCACTGTCTCTGGTGTTAATTTAAATGCGATACCTCAATGTAGGCGAAAAAAATTACCAAGTTTAGGGCATAATTGCTCGTAAGTTGTGGGAGCGAGATTCTGCCACCACGGCCAGAGACCGCTGCCGGCCGCCCAAACTGGAGAACATCTGAGGCGCGCAACACCGCACGTGGGACAGGCGCAGAAGCCTACAAAAGGGGGCACACGTCCACAGAAGTGGGGAGACGGACTGTGGTCACGGAGGCGAGCGGTCCGAACGCTTCGGCAATGTTTTACGTTGATACTAACCCATTCCTGTTACTCTAATAAATAGGGAGTTTTCGTAGATCGTTTTCGCCGTCCCGCAAGGCCCTCCGCACCCTCCGCAACCCGCTAGGATAGCGGGAACTCACAGTCAAGGCTATCAGCGCGCAGGCGCAGTAGCAACTTCTTCGTTGCGGAACGCTTAGCGGAGGGGGCAGCGCGGTCTACGAAAACTCCCTATTGTAGTTTCTCGTTATGGAAACCCCGGTTTCGTGTTGTTCCTCCCGGATGGGCATGCAGCAAGGCAACCCTACCACAAGGTACAGTCGGGAGCAAAAGTTTGCGGGGCACCGGAGCGCGTGCCGAAATGCATCGCCGCGCCGTTCGACGGCGCGGCGCCGCATTAAGGAGCCGCGCTTTGCGCATGCGCGCCTTTCGTGCACGCAATCCTGTCTCTTTCGCTCGTTTCTTTCCGACGCACTCCTGATAACAGAAGCTGGCGGCAGGGGCGCGAGTTAGCGCTTCGCGGGCTGTCATGCTGCACGTCTGCTTCAGCCGCCTCAGCCGCCGCGGCCGCGCTTTGTGACGGAGCTCGCGGGGGAAAGGGGGGGACAACCAGACGCTCCGTCACCCAGCACGGCTGCTGAGGCAGCTGAAGAGGACGCGAGGAATGACAGCCAGCGAAACGGCAATTTGCGCCCCTGGCGCCGACCCCGGTTATCAGGAGTGAGTCGGACAGAAACGAGCGAAAGAGACATAACTGCCAGCACGGAGGACGCGCACGCGCAAAGCGCGGCTTTTTAATGCGGCAGCGCGCCGTTGCACGGCGCGGCGATGCATTTCGGCACGCGCTCCCGTGCCCTGCAAACTTTTGCTCCCGACTGTACATGTTTGGATATTTCTTCGAAACTCGTCTTGAACAACAATAATCATATCTTAAGACGACACTTACCTAGGCTATACATAGATCATTCTTAAAAAGTTTAACATCTCTATCATAAATAGCTTCGGATATAGCACGCTTCAAATATGGCACAAACGACAGTTGTCAAAAACCCGTCGTCCTTCCTCGCTCCTTCGGGAATCTATTTCTTTAAAACGAAGCATGCCAGATGATTGAAATAAACGGCATTGTTTTTCGTAAGGAACGCGGCACCGCATGTAAAATTGCGAAAGAAAAAAAAAGAAAAGAAAAACGAATGTATTTCACTGCTTGAATCCAAATGAAACCGCCCGCCGGTCTTTCGAAGTTGGACGACTTCGAACTTTTACCCTAAAAGGTCGAAGTTCGTCGAACTTTTGACTTTTCAGGAAGTTCGACAATTTTCGAATTCTTTAGATTAATAAGTTCAGAAGTTCGAAAATTATAGAATTTCTTAGCGTAGGAAGTTCGAAAAGCTTCAAACTTCTTAGTGCAAGAAGTTCGAAAATCATCGAATTTTTTAGTTTATCAAGTCGAAAGTTCGACAACCATCGAATTTTGCAGCGTAATAAGTTCGAAATTTCGAAAAACGTCGAACTTCTTAGTTTAACAAGTTCGAAAATTCGACTTCCGTCGAATTTCTCAATACGAAAAGTTCGAAATACTTCGAACCTTTCGACCGCTTGATTCGATCATCGAAACTTCAATTCGGAAAAAGTTTGCGGCATCCCTACTTGCAACCGAGTACGACCAAGAGATGAGACCCGTTGAAACCTTTTAAAATTTCTTAGGAGAGAACACATAGAGAGGCTCTAAGAACACACTGGCATTTTGGCGCCATCTATGCGGTGACCCTGGAGCTGGATTTCACAAGAACGAAGGTTTTGAGGGATTTCCGAGGTCAAATGTGCGCAATACCTATAAGAAAGGCTCGTTTATAACGTTGACAAGAGTTTTCCGAGCCAAGAAAGGATAATGCGCGAGAGAAATAGAAAACATGCCGGACCGCCAAGTTTGCACTGCTACCCAATAGATGACGCCAGTGTGTCTCTCGTTGTAAGAGGTTGCAAGGCACCCAGTTTTAAGAGGTCGCAAGAGTGTGAACGGGCCTTTAGTTTCGATTTGAAGACATGGTCAAGGTGACATTCCTCACCTTACAGGACCCACAACCAGGGGCGGATGCAGGAATTTCCTGAGGGGGGGGGGGGCGTCAGGTGTTGGTCAGCGTACCATATGTTCAGGAACCCCCTCCCCCTCGTTTCACACCCTAAATTTTACACATGCAGAAATCAAGAGGGGGGGGGGGGGGGGGGGGGGACATCCAGACCCCCCCTCTAAATCCACCCCTGCCCACAACGAAAGTTTCACTTAAAATTTCACGGAACAGCTACAAGCACGGTCGTTATTAGGGAATTGTAGTAGAGCGTTTCCGCAGCCCGCTAAGCACCCGGATAGCGCTCCGTAATCCGCCACAAGACTTTGAACTATGCAGACAAGGCTGGGGGCGCGCATGCGCAACTACGACGTTTTCTTCACGGATACAGTAGCGGAGGAGAAAAACCATCTACTACAACTCCCTATTCTCTACATGGGAGGAGGTAAATGAAAGTGATGACTGAAATAAAATGCGGTAGTACTTATTGTCGTCGTCTCCATTCTATTACTGGAATTGTAAGGCAGCAAATACCTATGAGTATGGGCTGCTGACTTTCTGTGGCAACCTGGCTCTAAAATGCACCCAGTACCCAGTAAAATGCACCCAGTCAAACAAACGGTATTTGGAGCTTTTGTGTCACATTCACTGGACACTTCATGACTGCATTGGTACATGGTAAAAAGTGGAAACAAAGCACCATCTATGTCAGGGGTGGCCAGGATGGCCCGGCTTAAGAGCCGCAAACAAAACCACGGAACTTAAAGAAACTCGTTTGGTTTCTCTTTTTGGGGAAGTGCTCGTGCGACTGGGAGGGAGCAGCGATCCGCACTTCAACACGCGAAGAGCCGCATGCGGCTCGCGATGTCAAACAGCCCCAAATTTATTCCATTTATCTCTCTGGCCTGTCTGGTCTGTCAGCACCCACCTTGTTATGAGTGTGCTTTTTTAAGACATTATTTTTGGAGTGCTGTGTAATTTTCAGCATGCATTAAAACAAAAAGTTTGCATAAGTCAGGTACTTGAGAATGCACACGGGCATCGAAAATAAGCAATCATTCGAAAGAGCCACTCCAAATGTGCACAAAAATTTATTGTCAATATGTTCTTTTATATTTACATCTTCCTGACAGAGCGCTGGGGATGGCAGCAGGAAAAAAAAAAAAAAAAAAAAGAAGATTGTGTAACAGTTTTTTTTTTTTTACCTTTGTAAGTACATACTAAGGTCTGTCCAAGAAGTACTGGATGTTAAAAAGTAATTTACATTGTCTGCAAGACCACTAGCGGCAATTGCGAAAACAGGTTTACACTCTGTCTCCCTAAAACTGCACTACAGTCGAAGCTACAGGGGAGAGTGTATCCTGACCTGTTAAAGACGAGGGAAAGGAGGAATCCCAGCCTTTCTCTCCCGTTCCCCCTTTTCCTCCTCTTGAACCGGTTGGCATATGCTCTCTCCCTTGTAGCTTTGGCTGTACTGCACGGTTTTAGTGAGACGAAGCATGGTTGCCCGACACCCAGAAACAAGCAGAGGAAAAAAAAAGGTCTTTACACAGAGCAGTCCACGTCAGGAAAACTTAACCGTGCTGCAATTGTAACAGTGAACTACGCTCTCAGTAACCAGGACATAACCACGCACATGTACACTCGTCACTTCCATCGACTAATAAAACACGCTACCCCTCAGTCGCTGTGCAGCTTTTTTTTTTTTTTTTTTTTTAGCGCAAGGAACAGGGCAAAGACCTGCACTTCAAACAACACTGTGCGCATAGAGTTTTTCACTCATACTGAATCTAAAATAACTTTCAGATTCCTATTTTTGTTAATTACCTCCGGCAACACGATTGTTAGACAAATTTCCGAGCCTCTTTTGAGGGAAAAATAGGACACACTAAATTCTAGACAAAGCTGCAAAGGTACGAGAGCAAGCAGCTGTTGTCTCCTGCTCTCCGATCTCTCTTCAATTTTTATTCCAAGTTCAGTTTGCACAACACATTGCAGACAGTCCTCTGCCATTGCTACACAGCAGCATTACAGCTTCCTATACCCTGCCAGAAACGGAAGAAAACACAAGACCGACCGTAACAAAAAAGGCTGCTTCACAACGCTTTACCACGTAGCTCATGCCTCCCCACGACCCGCTTCCATTGGAAGAGATTGAGCGGCACGCAGAGTTCAACCTTCGTGTTCAGGTATCGAATTCGAGACGCCTCAATAGCTTCTTGTACGCCCCTCCGTTCAGAAAAATAAACGCTCTTCTTTTGCGAAGCTGTACATTCGGGCCGTCGGATTTCCGTTACCGCGAGGAGCTTGGCCATGATATGTCTCTGTGGCTGACACGACTGGGGAAAACCCTGGGCTAGCCCTGACCTTGTTAAGGCAGCGAACCTATCCACTCCCCCTCGCATGGCCGTCCACACGCCTCGCGCAAGTTTTAATTCCCTGGGGCATTCTGTTGCAGTACATCCCCCGTTTCTGCCTTTTTCCCTTTTAAGTACACTTTAGTGGAAAGGTGCTCTTGCATGATATTTCGGGAGTCCGAGGAAGAAACGGGAGGGGAGACGTTAATAAAGATGTAGATTTCTGGAACGAACCCGCGCGTATGCGACGGTGGAGAGAGGTAAAGGCCCGGGAAGCGGCCGAGAGAGGTGGCGTCGCCTTGCGTTTGAGGAGGAAGACCATGTACGAGACTGCGCTGCGTCACAAGGTTACGCCGTCATCTGGTTGACCGGGGTGGCCCCAGCTGTAGGATAATCAGTCTCGTGCATTTCAACGCAAACATGTCAAGAAACAAGGACAACAGGAAGAGGGCGAGAAAATACCAAATTCCTAGAGGAAAGAGAGTTGCCACATCTGCGCGTCTTCGGTCATTCCAAAACTGAGCTAAGCCATGTTACAAAACCGCGGAGGAAGATCCACAAAAAAAAAAAAAAAACCTCTTTTCCCCCAGTTTTTTTTTTTTTTTATTTCCTTCGGGTCTCCTGCCAGACCGTCACATTTGGGATATGTGTCAAACTTGAAGAGACCTAAGATTTTATCATAAATAAGAAACCAAACCTCGTACAGGTAGGAACAAAGGGGACGGCGTCCCCTTTTCCGAACAAAATGCCGAACCTCGAGCGAGACGCTTTGCAGTCGGCCCGACCGCAAAATCCCGCCGCCGACGCCATTTGTACATCTTCGTTCTTGGCAGAGCAACACAGTGGCACTGGTTTCTCTTCCTTTGGGCAACCCCACTCACGCTGCAGGGTCGCGGGGGTCTTACCACCGGGACGTCCCGCAAGGAGAGAAGTCGCAACCCACGGCCTCGACACTCGCAACCAACAACAACAACAACAAGAGGTAAAGTCCGATTCCACTTGAGGCGGAACGGTGACATGGAATGAAGCGGAGGTCTCGAACCAAAAAGTAGTAACATAGTTGCACTTTTTTTTTTTTCTTCTTCTTTCTTTTACTTGCAGGCACATTTTGTTTGATCCTATCTCTCGTGTCTCTGAAGTGTGGGGAAAACTGAGGAAGGACGAAACTGTTACTCTTGGGAGGCCAAAGAAAGAGGGGAGGGGGCACCGAGAGAGGTGCGGGCACACCGTTCCTTTCACTCTCACACTGCTCCGCGGTTGCCCTAGGGCAGGGAGTCACTGGTTGAAACATGGCAAGTTGTGGCCACTGCAGGGCTGCCTGACTGACTGGTTGATGCACCTTTCCCAGGCTGCAGCTTTAGGAGCTCTCTCTGCAAAGAAAGCGCGAGAGCGGGGGAGTGAAAAAGAGAGCTGGTGACACGGGCGGGAGCTTTCTAGTCCCAACTCTTCGCAACCAAAGCAGTCGGTACAGCGGGATAGTCCGTAACTCAGTCTCGCAAACAATGTGTAGTTTAGACTGCCCTATGCTGTCGGATGTCGAGATCCTGGTGGTTGGCTGTAGAGGGTACAGCGAGAAAGTTGAGCAAACGCAAGCACCACTGTCGTCACTGCATTCCCATCTCGTGGCTGCTCCGGTTTTTAGACTCCTGCTTGTTCGGCGGAACAAGCATCTGTCACATCTACCTCTGACCTCTCCTGCTGTGCCACCGCCAAGATCACGGCAAGCAACGGCATGACACAAGCGTGATGTCGTCAGGCGGAAATCGAGGGATTGCAAATGAGGATGCGGTAAACACCTGGAGTGAAAGACGCATTCCAGGTACCATAGTAACACCTCCTAGGTAACAAAGCTATAGTGCTGATTTTTTGGCATCACCCAAAGAAGGCCAGAACGGGACACAAATTGGACATGACTGCTGCGTCAGCACTCAGGTGGGACTTGTTCAATCATTGAGAACACGAGTTCCAGCCGAGCGCAGCGTTTGTGTCCCATCTGTTTCCCGCGTTGGGATCTTTTAGGCGATGCCGGAAACTCACCACTACGGCTTTGCTATCTAGGAGGAGTTGAGTATATTCAGGCGTGGCCGGGTAAGGAGAGGGGCCGGGTGAGGAAAGGGGCCGGGTCAGGAAAGGGGCCAGGTGATGAGGGGCTGGGTGACGAGAGGGGCCGGGTGACGAGAGGGATCGGGTGAGGAGGGGCCGGGTGACGAGAGGGGGCCGGGCGAGGAGACGGGCCGGCACCAACCTTAGCCGCTCGAGGGCGTCCTGTATCCGGTGCAGGCTGAGCCCCGGTGCCAACCGGTGCAGCATCTCACAGAGGAAGACGTCGCAGAGGCCCGGGCAGGCACGCTCCGCCCGCTCAAAGGCCCCCCGCAGCTCCTCCACGGCCCCAGTCAGCTCCCCACCCGCGTTGCGGTGGCTGTTCTTGTGCCTACGCTGGGCCTGCACAGAAACCAAAACATGAACCAAGTTTAAATTAACCGAACCCACTAGGCATAGCTTCCTATAAATATCTTGGTGTGCATCTAACCAATGACCTTTCCTGGAATTTACATGTCGAATATGTCACTAATAGCACTAATCGCTTACTAGGTTACCTCAAAAGAAACCTTTCGCTTACTCCTGTTTCATTAAAGCTTCTAATCTATAAGACTTTAGTCCGTACTAAACTGGAATATGCAGCCTCTATCTGGGACCCCGGTATCACCCTTTCATCCACTGTTGAGTCCATACAAAATCGTTCCACTCGTTTCATCCTCTCGAACTATCATCGCACATCCAGCGTCACATCTATAAAAGCATCCCTTTCCTTGCCTAACCTCTCTCTTTGCAGGAAAATGTCCCGGCTTTGTCTTTTTCAGAAGATTTTTCACTCTAATCCAACACTTCGTCAAACATTATTCTTAGAACCATCTTACATTTCACTACGAACTAATCACCATCTAAAAGTGGGCGTCCCCCAGTGTAACACCTCATCTTTCAATGCCTCCTTTCTCCCTCAGACCTCAATAGATTGGAATCGCCTTCCTGCACCCATAGTCTCGATAACTGATGCTACTGATTTTAAAATTGCCATTACTAAGTTTCTTGATGTTCAATAACTTTTGTTTTATGTCTTGCCTTATGTATCGTTATACTCATATGCTTCCGTTTAAAAAAACCCCACTCCTCTCTGTAATGCCTTCGGGCCCTGAGAGAACAATAAATGAAATGAAATGAAATCCCACACTAACATCCAATGTTTTTTTTTTTTTAGAAATGTGAAGATTATAATTTGTATCAACTCTTCTGTGCAATATGGGGGGGGGTCTAACATGAACGAGTATTGTACCGGCAGGCTGTCATGTACGACTATTGCGTGATGCACATTAGAGACCCCAAGCTAGCAGTCATACTGCACTGGCTAAAATTCTCATCTAAAAGGTGTACCTGTGTTGCCATACCATAGCAGACCAACTTAACACTGTCTAGACATTTAATGTTTAATTTTCTTTTACTTCTCAGAAAGGTTTGCGTAAACTCTAGAGCCCTGCACCGCTGATAGAAAAGGAACTTATCCCTCTTTTGACTCAGTGGTGCTAACACGAGTCAAATAAAAAGTAAGGAGAAAAGGAATTTTCTTTTTCCATTTCTTTTTTCTAATTTCTCTCAGAACACTAGGAAAGCTGCACCTGCCCCACCCAACACTGCACACAAAATGAACACCAACTATAATTGATGACAACTTAAGAGTTTAGGGAAAGCTCCTCCCACTTTCTTCCACTTTAGCTAAGCAAACGTTGGAAAGGAAGAGCTTCCCTGAACTCTTAACCTATTACCAACTAGAGTCATGGGGCCCATATTACCTTTATGAAAACATGCAATCGGACAGGATGCATTTCCTGAACATCGTCCACGTCATAATGCAACATTCTCAAATATCTCACCGTTACTCAAGCAGTGCAAGAGAAGAATGAAGGATCAGCGTTTTCTCTCGGCAAAACAAATGCAGAATACCTAAAAAAACTACCAACGCCTAAAGCAGGGAGCCTTTCATCCCATGGCAATGCAGCGTAGAGCACAAGGCAGTGTTAAAGCTCCCAGATACGTCTTGTGCTTTTCACAAGTAGTGACATTCTTTGAGGTGCTGACTGCACGACGGTGCAGGTTTCGGGAAACTAAAAGACGCCATCTTGTTCCGATAAAACTCACTTTGTCGTGACAAACACTTGTCATCACTCGTAAAACAAAGCATAGAAGGACTTTGTGCGGGGTTACCCACCTCGTTGAGGAGGGGTTGTATGGCGCTGGCCTCTCCCCTGGCTGGTGAGGAGGCGGAAGAAGAGGAGGAGGAGGTGGTCTTTGTGGGGGAGGCAGGAGGTGAGTGCACCAGCGAGTCCCTGTTGCTGTTCCGGGACTGCTGCTGCGTCGTCTGCTGCTGTGTTGTTTGCTGCTGCGTCGTCTGCTGCGTCTGCTGCTGCTGTGGGGCAAGGTGCAGGGGACCCTCCCCCCCAGCCAGGTGGTTGCGCAGCAGCTCCTTGGAAGGGCTACTTGAAAGGGGCGGGGAGTTCTCGCCGTCGGCCCCCGCGTCCCCTTGGTCCCGGTGGGAGCGGTACTGGGGGGACACTGATGAGGGCGGCAGCGGGGCCGCACTCTGGGGACGTGTCTGCAAGGGGACGAGAATTGCAAATTTGAGCCCCGGTGAAGAGGTATCCTCCGGTCTATTAAGTCACACACCCCTATAAACTGCCATTTAATAAAAAAAAAAAAAAGAAGAAAGGTTGGTAGATAAGTTGCATTCTTGCACAGGGTTTGCTTTGAGTTCTGCACAAGCCAGTCAGGCATATACGGTGAGCGAGTCTACTAAAAGACATCCCTCTCCGCAGGAGTGCGGAAGCCCGGAACAAGTGGAACACCCACGGGTGAGGAGGGCAGCTTGGGCTCGGGGGTCCTGGTGTAGATGACCTCGGAGGGGGACAAGGGGGGGCCCGTCGGGGAGCTCTCCCCGTTCAGCTTGGCCTTGGGACGGTAGCTGTTGTCCGGGGAGCCCCGCTGCTCCCGCAGGTCGAGCACCCCGGGGTTGCCTTTCACCGTGCCCAGGTCCCACCGGAGGCTCTTCCACGTGTCGTTCATTTTGGACTCGTCCCTGCGCGGCAGACGACGAATATGATTGAGAGTTTGGTGGCGCAGCAGCAACGAATGCCACAATGCTCCGAGCTTTGTGTGTTTCAAGGGGGTTAAAGACGGAAGCAGGATGCGAAAAATCCCGAGCGCCGACGTTGGTAGTCCTGGGAGGAAGAACAAGAAAGAGGGCGACAGGAAAGCGGAGAACGAGAAACAGTCGATAGGGTAGGCGTGTTTGTATTGCCGCGGCGAGTTGAACCTGTGAGAGTGCTTGTCAACTTTATTTAATTTTATACAATGTGCAATGCTGGTGCTTCCCTAACTCTATGATATACTTGGAGCACACTAAAAATATTTATGGTTCTTCACCGTGTCCTGAAAAACGAAGTGCAATGATGGCAGGGACGCTAGACACAGTAACACTGCCGTGTTTAAATTTAGCGGACTTGCGTTCCACTAGGTTTAGAGGACGGTGTTCATGCGACGCCTTGACGTGACGTAACCCTGCGACGTCGCGTTGCTCTACCTTCCCCGATGACCCACACACTAAGAAACGAATGTATGCTTCTTTTGCTCGTGCTCAGTTTTACATAAATATTCCTTGCTCGATGATTCTTTGATTTAAATACACAGCAAATGCGTGTAGAAGCTAGTGATGGGGACTAAATCTGCCGAACTTAAAATTCGGCAAAGTTCGGCAAATGCCGAACTTTTGAAGGAAAGCTCGGCAAAGATTTGGCAAATGTCAGTGCATGCGCGAGAACGCGACGGAGCCATGGATTGCAAATGGACGCCGTGCAGTCGTGCGGTTACCATGTGCAGTGCACGGTGGTGCAGAGTAGTACTACCAGCGGTTATGGCAAGGTGCGGTGTAGGCAACACGGTAACAGTGCGTTTGTGAGCGAGTGTGGATCTCTTCAATATTTTCTGCCTCAAGAATAGAAGATCGACCAGTAATTTACGCATTTCACTGCGCAAGTGACAAATGATGCAGTACATTCTGGATAACGTGATTTTCATTTGACATTTCCAGTGATGCAACAAGGTAGTTGAAACATTGGCCGACAATTACTTTAAAGCACTCCTCGCAATTATAACAATTCTGTCTTTCGCTCAGAAGTACTGTGTTCCAAAACAAAATAATACTGCTTTTTCAATTAGTGTTATTTCATGATTTTCATGTATCTGCATAAAACTAAACACAGAACTTTAATGCGCGACATTGCACATCCGACATTCCTAACTCTCGACCTTCCTAAACGTTAGTGTGTGTCCTAACACCAGAAACTGGCACTTGAAAGGCTAAAAACGAGGCGTTGCAAATATGGGACGCACACTTTCAAGAAGAGCTGACGTCAAGTGACTCAAATCGAAAAACATGCATATTGACAATAATATTATTATCTCTTCTGGTAAAGGCTCAGCAACCGTTGCATTCGTTTTCGTGCACAGAACGGCGACTCCCAGAGAAAGCAAGAATGCAGCGTTATTGCCTTCATTTTAACAATGCACACACACATGCAGGCTTGCGCTGATAATGCCTCAAAACTAAAAGTCTCGTAGCGTGATTCATGACTGCGCCACGCTCGCTTCTACCCATTGAGATCAGTGCTTCTACCCAACCTTGTTGACACGTCACTTCTGCAAGGAGTCACTAAAATTGCCAGTAAACACACAAAAACTACACCGATACCGTTATCTTGTAGAATATCACCTTATTTAGTAATAACTGTGTCAATACATGCATTGCATGTTGCATGTAAGTTAAGAAAAAACAACACAAAACCTTTCTTCGCCAGGAAAAACTAAATATCAACGTTAAGTCTGGTAACACTGTATTTTTGCCGAATCCTTCGAAAAGATCGGCAAAAGTTCGGGTTTGCCGAACTTTCGATTCAGCAAAAGTTCGGCCCCATCACTAGTAGATACCATCAAACATGGCAAGTTAAAAAAAATATTTTGGGGAATATTGTCTTAGAAAAGGTTTGATCTAAACGACCATAGAACACAGGTGTTATTGCATTTTTTTGCTCCTTTTCTTAGAAAAGGTTAGCAGGCATTTGTGGGAAGTAAAAAAGGCTGACATTTCAGGTCTGGAGTACTGGGTTAGTATAGTCTTTGATAAGCCTTGCGCCATACTACCGCAACCTATCAGACTAAAGGACTAAGCACTCAGAGTTTGCGTTCAGCTGTATTTTAACAAAATTCAATAATTTAAAAACAAAAAAAAAACATAACAATAAAAACCTAATAAAAAAAAGTGGGACTCGGAGGAAATCCACTTCTACAGTGAAGCAGCACATCTATTTCATGTAGAGCTAGACTTTTTCTCAGCCTCCAGAAGTGGTGAAGAGTGTTTCAGTGACTTTTGAAACACTCATCACATTTTCTGTAAGAAATAGGAAGTTTAAGCGCAGCACCAGTGACCTGGCTAGCTTGAGAGATCCCAGCAGCAACACCACTTAAAGCAGCAGTGCTATGGTCTCAAATGCCACCTGCGCTATCACCAAACAATTTTAGTCTCTTCCTTCCATACGCAAGGTGCTCCAGACACGAAGCGATGCCACTCACGAGTCTGAGGTTTCGGAGTCCGAGTCGCTCTGTCCGCCCCCTGCGGCCTTCCACCGCTTGTACTTCTCTATCAGGTCCATCAGGTAAGAGGTCTTCTTGGCCTTGCGGATGAAGGGAAACCTCAGCAGCTCCTTCGCTGTGGGCCGCTGCAACAGGGTCAAGGGCACCAGAGAGCGCTTCAGACAACCAGGTGCAGTGTGCACAACACTATCTGCGATTCAATCTCAAACTCCAAAACATAACAAAAAAAGGAAAAGTGATATTGCCACGTGCATATTGTAATTTCCCGAGAGATAGCCCGCCTAAAATCAGGAGCAAACTGGGGGAGAATAAGGAGTGGGCTAAATTTGGGTGTACGAACCAAGAAAAGTTGAAAAGAAACACTATTTCTAGATCATGTTTTTCTGCCAAGCTTGTTATCGCAGCGAGGGACAATGAATCAAAGATGACTGTAGTTCCGAATCAGCAACGTTTGCCTATATCCAGCCATAGCTAACTAGCTGCATTTACGCCGACGCCGAGGTTATCATTGATCCGAACACGATTACTAGGAGTGGGCTATCTTTCAGTGTTTAAAAGAAAACAGCAAATCAAGCTAAAAATAGGGGTAGGTTATCTTTCGGCAGTGGGGCATCTCTCAAGATATTATGGTAGTTGAGTTGGCAGTGCACGCAGATGCCATGTGAAGGCACGAGGTTTGAAGCCCACCTCCAATATTTACATTTTATTTTTTTCCCTTCTTCTAGAACCTTTTAGTAGAATCTTAATACCGATAGTGTGTTCTTGTCTGGAATATTCTCTAAAGTACAACGTGTATTAAAGAAGATGTATGTGGCCAGAGCTTTGGGTCAGTTGCGCTTTTGTCGCTGCCGCAGGATGTATGACGCCCTTTTGTTGAGTTCACCCAACTAAAACATTGGTCTTCAGTTTTACATCCATGCACTCTTTTTATTGAAGACAGTATGACCTTTTCGGGCAATTTGATATCCCAAAACCAGGGAGGCAAAGCAGAACCTGCTTTTCTCCAAATACTTGAACAACTCAAACGTGTAACTTGCCCAGGAGGATATTGGCACTGCCCACTTTTAAATGCTTTTTGAACTATAGACTAGGCAAAATGGGAAAAAATCACAATTCTTGAAAAAAGTCAAACAAATCAGATGTATATTATTTAATTAAAATTTATTTTATTTAGATCACTGCAGCAAGAAAATTGTGATTCTTTACCACTGGATTAAGTTTTCAGCACGACATTTTGATATATCAATTTGTTCTTTGAATGGTAACAATGCAGAAAAAAATAATTACTGTGAATGTAAGGTACAGTTGAATTAACAACATTTTACTGATGAAATCCTCGCCAAGGGCAAAAAGCTTTAGTTTACTTTTCTGTCATGTTCTGATTTGATTGCAGCAGGACATTATTTTCTACTTTTCTTTTCTTTCTTTTGCATTTCTATGTTGTTGCAATAGGACGTTACATAGCTGACGAGTGAACTGTAAGGTACAAATCAAGCACAATGGTCCAATTTTCTCAGAAAAGCGCGTCTTTTTACTCGTGCTCTGTTTTTTTATAAATATTTATTCTTGGATGATTCCTTGATTTAAATACAAAGCAAATGCACATGGAAACCATCAAACAATAAACAAACGGCAAGTAAAAAAAATATTGTCAGGAATATTTTTGAGGAAAAAGTTTGATTTAAACCATCACAGTAACACTGGTCTGATTTAAATCGCCATTTAAAGGGATACTTCAACGAAATATGAAATACACCCGTAGTGCTCAGAAATAAGTTGAATATGATCCACAATATCTCTAAATGGCAATCGCACGTTTGTATTTTGAGCCTGGTGGCTGCATTTTTCGTTATAAGCGGCCCACTCTGGCAAGCGCTTGGAGAAAAGCCAGCGAAGACATCCAACGCAATCGTGACGTAGTTTGTCTCGGGACAAGCAAAGCTACAGCGAGGCTGACATCGAGAGGATGGCCTAGTTGTTCCAGCCACCGAAGCGGCTGCTTTTGTACGAATTTTGAGCGACGGGTTAATCTTCTATAATCTTGTAGGGGAACAATAGCGACTTAGGGGACAGACAAAAGGGATTCTCGGGAAGAGGGGAGTTCCTCCTTCTCCTCTTCTCTCGTTGTGGCCGGACGCGAGACAGTTAATGTCACTAGCTGTCAAGGCTCCTAGACCGGCATTACAAACGAGGCGTTAGTGACATCCACCAGGTGCTCTTTGCTAATCGTTTATTTCATTTTGAAATTCCTTTTCGTGACTTTTTTTAACAAGATATTGGTGCGTTCGATGTGATACTGCTTTTTTAAACACATATAGACAAAAAAAAAGGGCACCAGAACTTCGTTGTAGTATCCCTTTAAATCACAATTAAAATCACAATTTAAATCATATTGAGTTTTATTCTCCACCCTGGTACTAGGCTATGAAAGTAAGAGAGACTAGATGTATTGACTAGATGTATCTGGACTAGAAATCATTAACGTGCATTGAACTGCATTTTATGCGACACGTTTCTGCAAAACCACTCTAACGACCTAGTCCCATATGAGCGATAAAACAGCAACAACCGACAATGCCCGACCTCAAGCACATGCAGCACGCACAAAAGGTGTCTCTGGCATGCTTGCAATCTCTCGGTGTTCATAAAGTAAGCACAAGTGATTGCAAGCCTATCAAGATACCTTCACACACATGTTGCACATGCTTGAGGCTGGTCGGTGTCAGTTGTTACTCAAGTGGGACTATGGCTTAAAGGTAAACTGAAGCGGTTCTGTAGTTGAAAAAAAAACACTTAAAACGTCTTCATTTGGCCTCTAGGATCACGAACATAGAAATTATTTTCTAAATTACTGTTGAAGCCCCTTCTTCCGGAACGTGACATCATATACAAAGTTTCCGAAATCTCCGCTCTCGCACCTCTTCAGCGCCTATCAAAGCTATGTATGCGCGCTACAACTATTTTCAGAAAGGTAAAAAAAAACGTCATGACTGGTGTGAGTGTGAGGGAATATACCTGGCAAGCTTGCAATTGCACATGCTGTCCACACGAGCGACACGCACTTGGTAGCTGAAAGATCTATGTATGACGTAACGGCTGGTCGGAGGGTTTCCGTATTTTCTAGTGTTTAGTTAGTACATCTTCGGGAAAAATGAACGTGATATTCAAATTCACGGGATAAAAATACTCTAGAATTCACCTCCAACTCGTTTTTATTCAAGAACTACTTTAGCTTCCCTCTAAGCAATGCGGAGCGCAAGTTCGTCTGCTTCTTGTGCAGGAGTTGTGGTGACATCAGAGCGATGCCAAGCTCCGATTGGTTCTGATTGAAGGGTAGTAGGTAGACCTCAAGACAGCTTGCTTTGAGGTCTACCCACTGTCCTTCAATCAAAGCCAATCAGAGCTCGACATCGTTCCGATGTCACCTCGACTCCTGCGCAAGAAGCAGACAACTTGCTCTCCGCATAGCAGAATGCCAGGAGCATGGCCAAAGTCCAAAATGCAAAAGAACACGCACATTCTCGGGGTCCTTGTTGAGGCAGGCCTCGACAAACTCCTTGAACTGCTTGCTGTAGTTGCCGGTCAGCTGGGGCGGGTTGTTCTTGGGGATGAGGAAGAGTACCCGCATCGGGTGCAGGTCCGAGTTGGGCGGCTCCCCCTTGGCCAGCTCGATGGCCGTAATGCCCAAGCTCCAGATGTCCGCCTGTTGGTGCGGGAACGGTGCATCAAGGGGCGACACTACGGCACACTGACGGCTGGCTTCCAACCAAAGGAAAAAAAAATAACTCCCGGTTCCTTGCCGTGTCCAGCAAATGAATCGCGGTAACTGCCGATACACTGTTTACTGTTTTACACATAGTTACGCTGCTACATTTAAATTTGGTGGATTTACGTCCAGCTAAATATAGCGGACGGTGTTCATGTCACACTGTGACATCACTCGACGCTAAGTTCTTGCTAAATTTGGAAAACAAACTTTTCCACCAAATGCGACGAAATGTTCCCGCTGAAAAAATTTATGTGCGTATAGAGGGAAAATTGTGACGTTATGCGACTCGATGTCATGTGACACTGCGACATCATGTGACCTGACCTCATGTCACAACCCTGCGATATTTCACTAAATTTAGCGCAAAAATCTTCCAATCATATTTAGTGGGCCACAATGTAGTAAATGAAATGCACGTAAGATCCGCTGCGAAACCTCGCCAACAACATCGCTGTAAAAACAGTCGGGGGTTTGTAATGCTGCGACCAGTTTAATTTCTAAGGTTACAATGCCAGGAACCAGACTTGGGACCTGGAACACTTTGCTGACATCAGATAGAAAAAATGAAGAAAAATGCAGATGGCGATGCATCTACAGAAATTAATGTGCCGACAAAAATATGCTGGTACACTTTTGTGACTGGCAGCATTTGCCAATCACAAATAGCTTTTATGCAAATGGCTTTCAAGCGACAGCTTGTCTGACTGGTCAAAATTCCTTTGTTTTGTTTGCCGCTTTTAATGATGAAGACGCAGCACCGTTTCGTAACATACTGTACTCGGCAGGTTTTGTCAAATAATGGGTATACCGTAAGTTCCGAAAGAACGCCCACCAGAAATGAAGAGATAAATGGTGAAAAACATAAGAGTGGGCGATCTTTGGGGATGCCACACAAAGCTTTATCAGAAAAATAACGACAAACACCCTGGCTACAAACCATGTGACGCGGGAACTGACACCACAAATTCGAACGAACTCCTGTCCCACGGAAACTGATACCGCAGATTGCGAACGCAGCGCATTCGCATTTCATGGTGCAACGTACATGCAAGAACAACTCGTGTATTACGGGAGCCGATATTGCAGGTGCAGATCGCGGACAAAATGCGGGAACCCTCTGAGAACTTGCTTGTCAGACATGCCGGTACAGCAAATTGCGCAGCTGATGCAATGCCCATTGGACATTGCATGACGTCCGACGGGAATGGGGAGGTGGGCAATGTATTGGAATTTTTATGTTGCAGATGTTTAGCCAGAAAAACAGGATGGGCGATCTCTCGGAACTTTACAGTAGTAAGATCAATATTTTACAATCCGCTTATTTAGCAACAAATCAGAAAATTACGCCAATAACTTTAAGCAGAGTTCCTTGGGCTGAGTAGTTTGTCCCAGAGCTTAGTTTAAAATTCAGAAGTACCAAGCAGAGACCATAAGGAAAAGAATAGTGCAGCTCATCGTAAACCTCCTTTACAATTCCAAGATAGCCATGTGTGGACCCTTCAGTTTTCCAAAGCCTAAATTACAAACAACCACACACGCAATCGCAGAGTGAGTCCCAAAGAATGTCCGCCCACATACGCCCACAAGCTCCTTGCATAATTTCGACGAGCTCCCACTGGCTAGGCCTTCAGCAGAAAACAAGCAAATAAAGAGGATTACAGTGGGGTAAGGTTGCACCATCTCCAATGTCCTTCACCCATGACGTCTTCAATCCGACAAACGCATCCCACGAGCACCGCTAAGGCAGGCAGGAGCACCTGTATGCGTTCCCTTCCTTTTAATGTCCCAGGTGACGAGCACATACATCCTAGAGAATCGGCCATACTACTACTGCCATGTGGCAATCTGATTTCTTCACTAGAACCAGCAGAAAATCTACCAATTGAAACTTAACAACCTGACTGAATAAAAGAGGAAGAATGCCACATTTTAAAAATATTTTATGAAAGCCAACAAAACCTACTCTAGCAACAGACTGCTTTTCTCTAACAAAATGTATATAATCCACAATTACAAAAATGGGTCACTTCACACGGCCCTTGGGCGGTGTTTTACAACCCAGTTGGCATAGCGACACCCACACACCATCTCAACAAATGTTTGCTCAAGCACAAGCTGCTGCTGTTGCTTTGCCACTGTTGCGTGCTCCCAGCATAAGCATGCTCCTATTTTCCTTCACTGTGACCTCCATCACATTGTGGCTTTTGTTTTGACATTTAAAAAAAAACTTGTTTTGTCGTCAAACCTGTCAAAAGTTATGACAGGTGTCAATAACGTCGCAAGCTGCACCATTATGCTTTCATTGTCCCTTTTTCGATTGTCGAAGGCGTGGCAGAAAAACAAATTCCTGAATGTTGAAAGGTTTCAGCTGAACACAATTATGTTCATGGTTTGAGCAGAGAAAGTGTTTCTAACCCTACCCTGTCCAGTAAGAGCTCTCTTTAATATAAAGCAGTACAGAATCTAGAGTGTTGAGAATACAACTTATTAGATATTATCAAGAATGACAATTGATGAGGCAATGAAAACTAGGGGCAAACTTGTGCCCAAAACAAAAAGGGACCAGGAGATAACAATAGAGTGTCGCCGGCGTCGATGGCAGGATAACAGCAGGATCGAACGCTAGGGCGAAACTGACTGCGGCTCGGCACGCAGAGCCCCTTATGTTCACGCGCGGGCTTCTGGAACAATCGGTGCAGAAAGTTTGGCGCGTAGAACATTCGGACCTCGAACAAGCAACAAGATTCTCGAATTTACCAAAACACTAAATTGCAAGAACAAACAAAAGACTCGTCACTCCCAGGAATCAAACCCTGGCTCTTTGCGTAGGAGGCAAGCACAATAACAGTTAGGCGACGACCGCACTGCCTACTTGGCCAGCTGCGCGCGCGGCAATATCCACAAAACTTTTTTATTTACCACAGATAATAGACCAATCTCACCAGCTAGTTTGCCTATGCCACCGCTGTCGCCATGCATTATGGGGACAACGTCTTCTGCTGCTCTTGGTCAGCGCCGTGCCGCTGACCAATCGCAGCAGACGGCGTTGTCCCGGTCCCTTGGTGCCGCTTGTTCTGCCATGTAGAATAAAGCCCCTATAGTCCTTCTGCACGCGCAACAAACCCGCTGAGGGTCTGCTCGAGCAGAGTACGAGACGACGCGAGCTATCTCATGCACAGGTGCCCACCTCTTGTGAAGTAGTCATGGCGGCGACACGCATGCGGGGAACGCTTAGCGAGATCGGTTCATTCCTTTATTTTTGAGATAAAAATCTTTTGATACACCACACAAACAAGTGAAAGATGTTGGAGGAGACACACAAGATGAAGAAAGCAACACACAGCCACGAGAGCTCAACATCCTGGCATCCAATCTGCGTAAGTGGATGTACACCACCTACTAATTACACCATCTTCTCAGCTCACCTTGGAGTCGTAGGCCGACTGCTTGATGACCTCTGGCGCCATCCAGAACGGGGTGCCCACAAAGGTGTTCCGTTTGCTCGTTGTGTTGGTGAGCTGCCCAGCCACCCCAAAGTCCGCCAACTTCACGTCCCCCATCTCCGAAAGGAGCACATTGGCCGCCTTGATGTCCCGGTGCAACTTGCGCTCACAGTGCAAGTAGTCCAGGCCCTTAAGGACCTCCCGCAGAATCACCGCTATGTGAAGCTCCTCGAAGCGTCCCGCCTTCATCAAGTCCAGAGCAGAGCCCCCTCCCAGGTACTCCATGATGATCCATAACTTGGTTCCTTTGAGGTATGAGCCATAGTATTTGGTAACCCAGGGCGAGTCACACTGAGACAGCACCATGATCTCCTGCTGAATGTCCTCAATCTCGTCCTCAGCCTCCTCCAGGTCGATGATCTTGATGGCCACCACCTGTTGGGTCCGGTTGTCCATGCCCTTGAACACCTCGCCAAAGGAGCCCTTGCCAATGCGCTCCTGCTTGGTGAAGATTAGCTCTGGGTCCACCTTCTGCAAAGAGTAAAGAGAAGGTTCTTTCATTAGAAATGGCTCCAGAGACGAGTCTCCCAAACTGGATGCACTGGTACAAGCCTGCTAGAGCTTTCTTGCTGATGATTTGGAAAACATGCTTGGAGGCAAAGAATGACCAAAAGCATCTGTTATTGAAGAAGCTTAGAGGCAAAGAATGATTGAAAACACCTGTTACTAACCTGCTTTGAGTGCAAGCTTACTGCCTTTGATGGCCTTTGTATTCTGCAAACTGCTGTCATGTACAGACCCAAAGCATCAGCTAAGGCAGTGGTTTTCAAATGGGGGTCCGCAAAGCCCTGCCTCATCAGTTAGTCCCAGCAGTAAAAGTTGTCTTTTTTTCAGGTTGAGAAGAAATGTTTGTTTTCGGGCAAGTTTCTTTGGGTGTATGTCAATAAGAGGGCTACTTCACACTAGCCCTTAGTTATATCCATTTATTAAATCATTATTATATTTAACCTATATCTTTCCTCTCCTCTCACCACGAACGGGGTCCTCCATCATCTCTGCCGATGCACAAGGGGTCTGCAAAACATTGATGGTTGAAAACCACTTAGCTAAGGCATTGATGTGGTACTGGAGGAAGCCACAGTCATATAGTCACAGCAAAATTCAGACACTAAAAGGCCAGCAAAACTGTGCAACCTACTTCATTCTTCATCGGCTAGCATTTTTTCTCCCAAGGCAAATACCTCAATTCCCTTTTCAAAAACCGATATCATATGCTTCACAAGCCCTGAACAGATCAGATATTCTTTACACCATCAATCATTTCCTCTTTGCCATAGTCATTACTAGAAGCTTGAAGTGCCCTTTGCCAAAAACAAATAGTAAAAAAAAAAAAAAAAAAAAGCTTATTTTTATGAATTATGTAAAGCTGAGTGGAAAGCATGTCGGAGCCCCTTGAAATTATCACAGATCATGGTTTGTTCTTAACAGGACCACCCCGGCATATCAGTTACTAAGTCAGATGTTGCTTGCAATTATTTAAAGTGCATCTCTATTTTCGTGTCCTATATTTCATCACATACTTAGTAAGAGTTGCTCTAATGTGCCGACATTTTAATGTCCCTCAGGGGGTGGTACCATAAGTAAAATGGAATTCCAAGTCCATTCAGCTTATTCTCGACAATCAACAAGTCAACAAGTGAAGGAAAACTAGTCGATGCCATTCAGTCAGTCTTCTCGGTACCATTCAAATACCTTCCTGGTGATCAATCAGATTAGAACAAACCAGTTGCTTCTGCTTCTTAGGTAAACAGAAAAGGAGGGCCAATCTCCAGTCCCAGACAGGGGAGGGGCACGCATACCTACACCGAAACAACAAACATCCGAACATCAAAGAAGTTGGTTGACCAGCGTTCAAAGAACTCGACCGACCGAACCAAGTCACGTAGGTTAGGTCAGTCAGTCCCAAAGCACAGGGGACAAAGCGACCACGTCGGCTTCGGTCCCCCCTTTCAGCCATTCCAGCGTGAGACGGCCCCTAGCCTGTCGGGGGTCGCGTCAAAGACAAATCAGCGGGAAACGACATGGTCGCGATGTCAGACAGGCATGCCGGGTGGAAGTTCGAGCACGGGAAAGCAGGCCGGCCTAGCCTAGCCCAGCCCAGCGCAGCGCGCGTGCACAGACACACACACACACTACAACTCTTCCCCCTCCTCCGAACACAAGCGTCGGCACAGACAAGCGGCAAAGCACGACGGCGGCGGCAATCCGGGCCAAACTCACTCGGTCCTCGTCGTCGTACACCATTGTGACCCCCGGCGGGCTTTTGATGCGGGAGCGCCGATTGAGGGCTCGCTCGCATCCAGGTCTCCCGCCGCTGCCACTACCGGCTTCTTTTTTACGTTCCGTCGGGCACGACTCGAGATAAAAGCAGCACGAAAGGGAGCAACTGTCCTTGGGGCGGCTTAGAGAGCGCGCGGACAATGTTGACTCTGCGATAACGGCCGCCGACGCACGAGCAGGGCGCGCGTGCGCAAAGGCCGCGACGTGTGACGGAGGCTCGAAGGCTTGAGCCACAGCTCGGCCGGTTCCAGGAAGGTTGCGCGGGCGCCGGCTGAATGGCCGCTACGCGATCGAGACACCACCGATAGCATCAGCCTCGCGAATGTTCCGACAACTCTGACGTCGCCGCCAGGGCAGGACACCCCCAACACCTCCTGAATAACAAGGCCAGAGGGCTGAATTCGGAGACCCGGCATTCGAAAGAAACGACCTGCGCTTGTCCTGTCAGAGGGGAAGGGTCTTTGTTTAAGATTAGCTTTCTTCAACAGCAGCAAATGCTGAGTTACGCAAACAAATCGATTTGCGTCGCTTTATTATTATTATTTCAGGGAAAAACACGGTTGGACGACTTCAGTTTTAGACACAATGGGGGACAAAGGAAACCACGCTATAAGAAGCAAGTCGCCAAGTTGGCGCAACGGAGCGCAGGAACCATACAACTATTCCTGGTCCCATGTTGATGCACAAGGGACAAGACGACAGAACTCCGAAGTTCCACATATCAACAACGACAAGTAGTGCCGCGCGAATATTAGAATTTTCGTATAGTAGTTTCGAATAATACGCTATTCGATATTCGCGTCGAGGCGAGAACAGCGATATTCGTACTTTTCGACATGTTGATCGCGGCGGGTTAGCCCCGTTGAGTGTGCTTCTCACCGTGCACCTGTGCACTGCGGGTAAGCGATGCTTGCGAAGCTCGTTGGCTCCGCAGGTATTGCTTCCCTGCAGTGCACAGGAGCTCGGTGAGAAGCGCACTCAACGGGGCTAAGCCGCGATTGCGGGATGTCTTCGACATTCCACGATCGTAATTCGTGCTTGTTTATCTTTTTTGTCGAATTTGCAATATAAAAAATGCATATAGCAATCAGATTTATAAATCCCCTCGATTGGGATAGCTGCGACAGGTCTGTCGTTTACATGCCACAGTTTATATGGTTATATTATAAAAATTGACCACGCTTAGAGTGGACAAGTGGAAGGCTGAAAACAGTCTTCACGAGTTCAGCTCAATTTTCACTCAAGCATGGTGCACGGTAGTGAAAGACTCGAAACTATTCGATTCGAAAATAATCGACGAAAACCACTGTTCGCTTCTAACTCAAAATCCACTATTCGCACACGACTACAAGTCGAACGACTGGCCCAACTCCCACCTGATGTTTAGCAGTAGTCGACACGACAGACAACGTTTGGGGAAAAAAAAAAAAAGTTTCTTGGTTGGCTTTTAAAAAGACGGCTAAGCCTTACCCGATGCGCAGAGGCTAATATCCACGATCGTTTTAGCTTGATGTCTGATTATTTTACTCAAAACCAGGGCAGTCCAACGCGATTCCAGAGAAACGAGAAAGAAACCGCTGCGAGAAACCATCGGCTGTTTCCATTTTCCTTTCTCGGCACAGTTTTTGAGAGTAGCTCAAGATTCGGGGAACACCCCAGTATGGGTGGATTGTTACAAGGTCTCTTCGATAACCTATCATAGAAAACATCCTCTGCTTTTAGAAAGGAACCAATGAACAAACGAACGTAACGAAAACAAAATACCTCAAAAAGAAAGAGAGAGAAGAAAAAAAAAAAAAAAAAGAGAGAAGTGAAAGCCAGAGCGGCGCCGCAGGTTGTAGACACCTGCCTGTCGTTCAGCTAACCGCCGCCGAACCCAGAGGGCTCGGATTGCGGCGAAAGTTCGCGCCAGACACCCCCAGCCTGTCTGACGCGACGGGCAGGTGCTCTCTCCTCGACACGCTCACCTCTGCCCCAGCAAAAAAACAGAGGTAAGCGTGCAATCTCGATGCAAAGACGACAACTACCGGGTACTTTACCTCCCCCGAACCAACACACACACAAAAGGAAAGGAAAGAAAAAAAAAAGAAAAAGACAGACGCGAGGGGTTGTTGTTGCCGGAAGACACGCAAATCGAGTGGAAACGATCGTCTGACACTCATCGAGCAGCTGGTGACTGAGCCGCACGCGTAGCGCCGTGGGGTGTTGTATAGTTTCTGGCCTGGGTGGAACCCAAAAAAAAGGGTCCCTCCCCTCAAAAGGGATTAGAGGGGATTATTTCCCTGGACTGCCGCCCCTGGAAAGGGATAAGCATGGATTATGCTCGGACCACTTCTTTGCATAAACCCGAGGCAATCGTCGCGCTCTGATAGGACGTTCGACGCGGAGCTTTGTTTGACGCTCTCCGATTATATTAGAGAGAAAGGGAAGTGCATGCGTGGATAGACTGAGTGACGGGGGGCAACGGGGGCTTCAAAAAAGCCGGGTGGCTTTCTTGAAGTTTCTCGAAATGCGGCTTGTCTTGTTTTGGATCGGTAGAAACACTTCGCTACTTCGAGCAGCGAGCGGCCGCTAAATTAACCGCTGATGCGTCGTCATACCGACTCCGTGGAATTTGGCTTGTCTTGGATCGGCAGAAACACTTTGCTACTTCGAGCAGCGAGCGGCCGCGAAATAAACCGCTGATGCCGAGTGGTTTTCGTGACGAATCGTCCATGTCTCTTCAATCTGCAAAATGCGGTTTGTTTGCTTCGCTTTTCTACGAACGTACCGATATTGTGAAGCAAGGTGCGTTTCTCGGGCTTTGCGTAATCAGGATAGATCGTGTTCGTTTCAATACGCGTCGAGTACGTTGCACCGACTCCCACGTGAACCGCGCGCCCGAAAACCACGAGAGGCAAGGTAAGCGAACGCCTCGGACCCCAGAACCGGGAAAATAAAAAAATAAAAGTGAAGGGCAACCACACGCGCGTCTCTTCGTTTTATTATTTGTGTCCCCGTCTCGGATTAATAATGAGTCGTTCTCCGTCTATACTCCGTTTCACCTTATGTTGTACCGCAGAGAAGGCCAGAAGCGCGAGCTAGCTGCCCTTGTTGCACGAGAACTTGTACCGTCGAGATGTGCCCTAGAGCAAGGAGCTCGCGCTTGTAGCCTTTCCTGCGGTACACTACTAGGTGAAACAGAGTATAGC